AGTCGAATAAAACACTACCAATTTGTGGTCTTATGAGGAGATTTCGAACGAGTTTTTCGCATTATAAAACCAAAACCATCGAGTTACCACCACTCTTAGTGTTGGGAATAAGAGAACCAAAGAATCGTTCGATGAGGAAGTGGAAGAGAACGCGCCACTGAAATGGCTCCTCCATTTCATGTTGTTTTCAGGCTCAACATCCTAATTATTTTTCCACATATTCCCCGCACAAATAGCTCAAATAGACATATCGTAGTAAAGTAGTGCTAAAACGTGGCACAATTTATGTTTTGCTACAGGTGACAACTTTTGATTCGTAGGCATAGCACCTCGTGATTCGCATAAAGCACCATCAGTCAACATGTGCTGGTCCCGCTAATTTCAGTATCCCTGTTACAAGTCTCATTACCCACTATCAAATCTGCTCACACTCATCATGCATTTATTCATGTGCCTGTTTCACCCTCAGGTATCCCATCGAGGGAATGAATTGGCATTAGCATGCTTTGTAATGGCTCGCCGTGTTTATGGAAAGACTTTGCATCTATTGCACAGGATCTGGGCACAAAGTCCGAAAGTTGGATTGGCGAATTTTGCAATACGCATGCAGATAAGTGTGAATTGGATGCCTTTATTAAGTATGTCAGTCTCATTTGCATTCGTCTCCAACGGAACGCATTTCTTAAATTGCCTTTTAATTGCGCTTTTTTTATCAAACGCTTCCCTTTCCATCTTTAGCAGCAGCAACGAGAGGCCCGGGGAGGTTGCGGAGAATGCTGTGGAGCACATGGAAAGTGCATTTACACTTTCACTAGCACCTGGATGAGCGTCAGCACCTGCAGTCCTAATAGTAGCAGATCCCATGACAGCAGATCCCCTCGCTAATATAAAATCAAAATCGGAATCAACGTCAAGCAGTCTCGTGGTTGCGTTAGGGCCATTCTCCACCGTTAACACTGCCATATACTACAGTACGAAGGAGAATTATTTGCCTATTATGCATCAACACATTGTAGCAAGAGAAGCAGATGAAGAGAAAGAAAATGGGTCACATTCCAATGCTCCAAATGATAGATTGGAATTTGAAGAGGTGCAAGAGGAGGATGAGAAAGAAGTGGAATAGTAACTTCATAGTACATGAAATGTACCGCAATGACTGTTCATCGATCAACTCAATGTTCAAAGAGCACTATCAGTGGAGAATTGTTGTTGTATGCGAGTATTGCCGGGTAAGGGGAGGAGGAAAAGGGGAAGAAGGACGTGCCCGTAAGGCACGTCCATATTCAACGTGGTAAAGACAAACCCTTGAACAATGAATTAACACCTCATTGATGTACCCATCCCATGTTGCACTGTACGTGATCACAATCAAGTGAATACATGTCTGTATTGTCTGGCTATATTTAGGTTAAACCTAAATGAGGCACTTCGTCGTCCTATCCAAGGCGATTTGGTCAATATTCTTGACACATGTGCAGAAATAAAGACTTAGTCAAATGCTGCCTCACTAACTTCATCTTATGCCATCATCTGGGCTTCTAGATAGCCTGCCTACTTTAGATACTTAAATCTCATTGAAAATTACACCTTGTAGGCTCAAGTGCCCGTTTGGGAAACTTCCAGACCTATTGCAAAGTGGCTTATTTATACTTACTTCTTCCACCAACAAAGTCATCACAGTTGTTGTGTAAAGGCCTCACTGGTCTATAGTGCCGCGCTTTTGGATCAAGGTGTGTAAAGAAACTTGAATCTGTGGTTGATAAAGTTAGTTTTAAACGAGACAACAAAAGCAGGCTGCCTTTGAAACTGAGGGACTGAGTTGTGCCAAGATTTAAGAATATGCCGAACCAGCAAGCTGCCTTCTCCTACTCCTTCTGAGACTAGGCTAATAAATTTGCACTTTGCTTTTCAACAGGTGAGTAGACTCTCCGTCTGACAGATAGGAACATGAAAGCACTGCCGGTTAGGCTTCATTGCTGGTTGTAATCCACTATATAACGCATCACTCAGTAGATAAGTGACCTCCAATCCAGCCAATTCCAAAGTGCTCAGTGTGTCTTGCTTTGTATGCGCAAGAATCCGACTATAACCACTCAGTTGTTCTTTCACTCTCTTTGCCCAATGATGACTAGATTCAGCCAGTCACGTTAATTTGCTACATAATAAGAAAGTTTTCTTTATTTCATTTTCACTCGTCATTGTTGGGATAATTTTTGAGGCCAGGGTTGCAAGTGATTTGTCGCAGATGGGTTCATAGCGACATCGACGGTTATATTTTACGTCGTTGGGATAGTGTGTGAATGGATTGGGCCTTTGATAACTTTGAATGAACAGTAGCTTTCTATCTACCCTATCGCAATGGACGATAACCATTCTAGCAACCAATTATTTATCTCCCGCACATAGATTTGCTCATGATTCACAGAATATGATGATAATGAGGAGGAAGAGGAAAAGAAGGATATCTGAAGCAGAAATGGAGCTCCTGGAGGGAGAGCAGGTAAGACTCGGAGACCAGGCCAGCGACCACGGCACAGACTACTGAAACTTGTTCAGTCCCCACACATTTTCCCACCTTCAAGGTCTCATGCTTTCTGGTCTACATGAAGCCACTGATATCCGAGCTAGACAGCTAACAATAGTCACGAATTCGCACAAAATTTCCCACATCCCGAATTTTGTAAGAACTCACTCTTCCAGGTGAATCATCAAAGCAGTGCATAAGTGGTCAAACTTCGCCCCTCCTCTAGTGGTGTTGGTGATGTGGACAGGTAATCGGACAATGCTACACCAACAGTCAGTCAACACCAGTGTGACCTACGTGTGATATATCAAGAAACATAGTTTAAAATGCGAAAGACACTTGCAAGCAGGTGCACATACGAATGTGCTGATGACGTTAGGATTGCGGTTACGAAATCTCTACTTGGATACATACACATGCACACTAGCATTGGGAGGTGGGGGTGAAGACACCAGCTTCTAGTATCAGATGTACTAGGCACAAACGACTAGAAGAAATCAACGTATAATACTATTTTTTATTCAATGTTTATCCGTTCTGATTGGTGGCACCTCTGCCACTGACCACACTCGGTGGTGAGTTCACGAACACGGACTTCTTTTACGGTCCACTCAGCGCGCCTTTATCATACTTCTTGCTTAAATGAAGTAGGGGTTGCATGAGGTAGAACACACTGACAGACTCCTCGGCCACCAGTTGGAGCGAGACGCCAGAAGTACAAAAGCTCATTATTTGTGTCAACAGACGCTGCCCACAACACCCTCCTTCACTGGCAGTCACGGATATTGCAGGGCATTTAATCATTACTTCAGTGTGGACAGGCATATGATGCAGTACTCCGTTTGCATATCTCTCAGCCAACCATTTCTACGGAGAACCGTGTGGCTATCAAGGAAGTTACTTAACGCGTCTCCACTGGGAAAGAGCGTGTTGTTGGCAATTCTCGTTCCGCAAATACTGATAATGTAGTCATGAGTATTGCGTCTTCGTTCTCTTGCAAGTGAGATTAAGTATGCTGTCGACAGCCTCCCAATTTCTCTGTAACGCATCTCCGTAAATTCCAGCATGTGAGCACATCAATACAGTTCGATCAATCTTCAACATAATGTGGTTAGCCATTATAATAAAGCACATGATACCACATCTCAAAGGTTGAATGAATCTCTGAATGCTTCCTGCTGACACCAGCATCAATGCCTGTGTTTTGCAGTCTCCTGACGTCGCTAGCATGAAAGCACCAAATCATCAACACACGCTTTCTTGCATTTGACTCACATAAATGTTGAGATCGTAATATAGATGCTTTATAACCGAAAGCTGCCAGTATATACTCATGCTCTGCGTCATGAATTGCGAAGACCAACCTCAAAATACCATAAAATGTGTCAAAACCAGGATGCCTTCAGAAGACGTTGCAGACGATAAATGAGATATATTTATGATGTGAACGAAAAAGTGTGGACAAGATTTCATCAGACTATTGTCTGTGTCACTGTGCCTGCGGATGTGGCTCTGCCCCCACCTTGTCTCTCTTCAATCACTATAACGCATCAGAGAAGGTGCTTCGGCTTCGTTCGCCTGCAGAAACACAATTATATCCTTCATCACAAAGCCGCACTTTTTAAGCGAACTAGTCCTACGTCACATACATGGGTTTTGCACTGACCACATTGAACTTCTCCACCACACCACTGAATTTAACGCTAGCTCATCTGTTTGCAATTTTAAATATAACATTTTTTCATCATTTTTCATTAAAAAAAGAAACAAACTTTAGGCTTCGTTAGGACTAAAAAACAAAATCAAAATAGTGAAACATCAAGAATTGAGAAAATTGCACAATTTACACCTGACCACTCACGTGTACGAATTAAGGCTTCTACTGGGATTAATAACATGGAGTACTTCCAAGTGCGAAATTTATTTTTTTAACAATGCTACAGCTCATATACGTCTGGTTCCCCTTACATTTGCAAATTTTTTGCATTTAAATAATAGCGATTTTGAGAAATAGGAACCAAGCCTTTAGGCAACCTTTATAGTAATAGCAGTTATGGCGTTTTATTTGCTTCCAGAGCCAGTCAAACTCTATTCACCAATGATTAAAAACAATATTCGCACCAAATCATGATTTGTATGTTTACCTCCATGTGATTACTGCTTGGCAAAGCGTCACCTAAGTGTCTACACTATTTGAGGACAAGACTCTGTTACTCGGATATCCAAGAAATTCATGCAATTGCTACGTCAAGAAGTTCAAATTCATTTAAAATCGGGTCATAGTAGACGTGATAGGATGTGGCAGTAGTCGATAAATTTGGCATACAGACTTCTCTAAGGAGCAGTCCATTAGGATCTCAAAGCAGACATGCTTTGTCGTCATGATATTATTAATTAATATAACCATATTGCCGAACAAAACAACTAACAATAATTTAGAAAATGATGCTCCATTCCTCGTGTATGCCCACCAATTATGTGAGGCTGTGATGGGTGCATAAGCTATCCGACAACTCGCTCTCAAGTCGAATAACAAACAGGTTGGCTGGCAACAGCTAACAAGTGAAAATTGACTCTATCTTCCATTCGTCAACTAAAGGTCCACATGCAATTTGTGCCAATGCGGATTCCAGCCTAGCATACAGCTATCATTATATCTCATAATCAATCACTGATAACCTCGGAATATTTCCACTGAACAGCGTAAGGGATAGGCGAGACATGTTCTAATCGCTTGTACAGGTGAATTAGAGACCACTTTTTAAAACGCATATAAAACTGTTAAGCACTTTTATCAACCTATCATCAACTAGAAAGTTTACATGGGCAGGCTCTGAATAATTCGCCTCTCCTATCAAAAATTCTCTTATCCATGAATAAACTGAGAGTATTTGTATTTTGTCAGGGTAAAGACTGCAACATCAGTAATGGCCGCATTGCTCTATTTCAACCTTGAGAATTTGCTGGTATCTTACAATTACATTTCCATCTACCCGATTTTTTGTAATATCATTACTCGCAGATGATTATTGACTTATGACTTTACAGGATTGCCTCCAATGGACTTATTTGGAGGTATCAAAGTGTCACGCGATTATGCGCACATTTCAAGATTGAATGGACAATGAAAGGTGAGGGCATGGCCACTCTTATATTACTGCATTCAGTAGACCTGTATTTGGGTGAGCCGTTATCAGTTCATAAAAGCTATACTCCCTTTCCATTGTTACGCGACCCAATCGTTGGCAAGAAAAAAATGGCGAGAATCAACACTAACTGAACTGCCAATGTTTGGCGTGATCAAGCGACTTCTGGACAAACACATGCATCTTCATTTGCCCGGTGCCATAACGGGGTAAATGGACATCTCACTAGGAATGGTTAATGGGCAGAAATTAACAGTGAAGCTGGTTTCACTAACCACAACAAACATGTTCCGAAGTCGATTGTTCACTCATGTGGAAACATTAAGGGAGAAACCATCTAAACACGAATGTCCTTTGGATTCAGATAGTGCTAAATCACCAAAGTCTAGTCCGCTCTCCACCGAACTGGTGTTGAAAGGTACTGAAATGATGCACGTAATAGACAGCAAAGAGAAGTGGCAGAGCATTTCATGTAGCTTGATTTCTACTTAAAAATAAATAATAGACACTTTGTTGCACGTATCAAGATGAATGCACAAAAAGCATGATGCAACTTCGCCACGGCTCCCAACGATAGGATGATTGAAGGGAACAGGTGTGATGCTGATTCCATGCGATTTGACGCATAATT